TTTCTTTAACTGAAATATAATTGACATACATTGTATTAGTTTCAGGTGTACAACATAATGATTCAATACTTGTATACATTGCAAAGTAACAATCTTTTTTAGACTCTATTGAGTAGATGATGAGGGTTATGAATATTTTAACTGTAGGAGTAACAGGCTAACATTTGTGTTTGTAAAGGTAACTTTGATTGTAATGTAGAAGATTGATTGGAAAGAATTGTTGCCAGGGATTCTACCGCACTAAAAAGGTATATCTCTTGGTGGCATACTGTTTCTTAGATGGTATGTTTGTTCATTGTGCCACATCCTGGGTTTGGGAGGCCACGGTAAACATATCCTGATTGGCACTGTCACCCCATCAGCTGGGCTGGAGTTGTGCTCACTGGTGAAACATCTCCAGGGTACCCAGAAGAAGTTAGGTGGCTGGGATACAGCAGCCCGGGGGTCCGCTCCTTTAAGCTGAGTAGGACTTAGGGAGGATTTTACTTTAATTGCTCTGAAAATGGACAGAAGTAGAAAAAATGTAATGTAGAGACTAAGTGTGTAGTTTCGGAGCCAGGGAGCCTGGGTTTGAATCGGTCTGTTTTTCTATTGGCCATGTGATCTTGAGCAGCCACTGAATCCCTAAATGCCTTTCTCCTTACATACAATGTAAAAATGGGAATAAAAATATTCCCTTTGTCGCATGGTTATCATCCAATTTACAGATGCCTAGCGTATACTAAATCTTAATCAATGTTGGCTATTGTTATATTTGTTTATATTACTTTGTAACAACGAGGCTGAGACTTGGGGGAAAATCTTTTGTTTAATGTTTCAAACCCCCATTTGCAAAGCAGGAGTAAAGAAATCATTTTCGTAGGTTGCTACAAGGATTAAGTAAAGAAGAGAAAGAGTATAATGTTGCAATTAAATAATCATAAAATCACATTTATATTAGCTTTACTGCTTTTTAACTTTACCATAGGAAGTAAGGGTATTGCTTGATAAAACAGTTGTTTCATTTGTGTAAACATGTGTGTGTGTGAGTGTGAGTGTACTGGGTCCCCGTGTGCGAAGCAATTATCACAGTATTCTCTATTACTCGGGAGCTCTGGTTGAGTTCTTTGGAGGTAATAGAGAAGGTCACTCCCAAACTGATTCTACGTCTGACCTTATCTAATGAGGGTCTGATATCTATCATATTAGTGATTCATTCATTCAGCTACCACCTAACAGTGATGAATTGCTTGGTTATTAAGAATATTAGTTGAGTTACAACATGGTGCTGAGTGCACGCTCTTACCCTGTGCTTTGTGTGCTGATTAAGCATGATCTCCAGCCTTCAGTGTCTGCAGAGGACCTTCCACCCAAGTGTCGGTATCCAGGGATATCAAAAGATTCAGTATATTACTAGCTCAGAGAAAAGATTAAAGATGAGACATGTACTAAAATGGACAGATGCTGCTTCAACTCCTCTAATTCTCTTGGATGTTCACTTGACCAGCTGTACTTTTTAGAACTGGATGGATCTCTGCTGGTAGCACAGAGCTGTTTTCTGTCATTGTGGCTGTGTGATGGCTTGGGTACCTCCAAGGAATCGCTGTCAACAGCAAAGATCCCAAGGAGGTGAGTTCCCGAGGCAGCTCAGCTTCTGCCATCACCTCTCGGCACTCATTTGGGGTGGGGCAGGTGTCCCCTAGGGAGCCTCAGAGCCTGGGTTTATGGTTTCTCTCCACTTCCTCTCCTTTTCCAGTGGTAACCCCTCTCTGACCCTGTTTACTGCAGTGCGGCCCGGAGGGTCAGATCAGGTGTGGAGCTATTCATTATGTTACTGTGAGGAAATTCCAGGGTCTGAACTAGGCAGTTGAGGTAGATTATAGGCATAGTATCTCATTACTCAGTTTAACAACAGTTCTGAGCATCAAACATTCTTTCAGGCATCCTCTGTCATCACGCTCATTACCAGTCCCGAAGCCAATTTCTAGACTGTTTCGATCGTATTACCCAGTTCTGAAGTCTCTCTCAGACCCTTAGATTTTTGGATACTTGGGGCCTTCTGAACGCTGGGTCCCAGGTCTGCCCCTCAGTCTCCTGCTTGACTGGTGGTTCAGAGAGCTGTGAGTCAGCAGAGTGGGGACCGGTTAGCTAACCATACTTGGGATGAAACAGTCTCAGAAGTCTCTGTGGCAGTCCCTCTGTGTGTGTCTTGTGTTCTCCCCGTCTGCTCTCACTCACAGCCCTGACGAGTTGACGGAGCACTGACTTTGGAACCCAGAAGACCTGAGTTTGGGTCCTAGATTTGCTGTCTACTGGCAGTTGTGCCTGGGAAATTTCTCAAATTCTGTGAGCCTCAG